ACAGTGAGGCGAACCTCACTGATCGGTGGCAAACTCGGAATGCTTATAAAATTAGTGGGAAATTTAAGGTGGACACAAATTGGGCCTATTTTGCGGGAACGAGAAGAACCGCTTGATCGCTTTGATTAACACACAGAGTGCATAATCGAACTCTGCATACATACCATTTCGAGCAATCTGACCTGATAAGAAACGACAATAAGAACGCCGTTGTTGTCACTGTTCATTACCATATCCTTCAATGTCTCCAATCAAATGGGTGTGGAGTCTTTCGGACCCCAACCTGGAAGGTGAGAGACACCTACTCTATCTAATAGTTCTGTGCATTTCTTCATACCTAGTCTCCACGTCATCTGCTGATCTCCACATGGTTTCCTCTAGCCCGGAGGAGTCTACAGCAAATAAAGCGCGGTGTGTTAGACGATGGCTGGACATACGCAATACGTGCCCTAGCCAACGAAATCTACTAATGTGAATTTGGTTTGCCAGCAGGTTTATGCCCGATAGACTCCCTAACCTCCCACATTACTAACCCGGTCACTACATCCCATGTGGGCTAAACTAAGTAAACACCGATAGTCGAAAACTTCTCGTCCATGGAAATATTTTACTCACTAATTCAAGGTTTCACAAGCATAAAGTAGAACTGAACGAACGCTAGCACAATATGCACGACCTTTCAACTTTCGTGAAACATCACGTCTACGCTAAAGGTATTTCGATTCTGCATATCCTATTCGAGCCTTGGAAATGCGGACGGTTATCTCCTTTGCTGCGTTACCGTCATTGGTCACGCAGTTACCTAAGAAGGAGAAGTAATCTATTATAATTAATTCCTGGCCATTTAGTTTCAGAGCGACAGTAGACGAAACCCAGTCCAGCAGCAGTACTTTGCACTTTGAAGGTGAAAAGTACATACCGAATGTGGCATCTGCACTTGTTACTCTATCAAGCGTACATGGCGCATCCTCCATACATTCGAACAGGCAAACGATGTCATCAGCCTACTCTAAATCGCACAGCTTTTCTCTAGCTGCCTTTTGAATACTTACGTTTTGGAGACCACTAAGTACGTCCTACAGTATTCCGTCTACGACGAAAATGATGAACCTGTCACACGAACTGAGTTGAACCGGTGGAGTTTGAGCCATCGCCGAGTATGAGTATGAAGTTAAAATCGTAGGAGAACGAACTTTACAGTGATTCGTTCTCCCACTGATCATGGCAGAATGGCGGAAGAACGAGAGGAAACTAGGGGTCGAATGAGATGCGCCTGTCAATCGGTTTGTAAAATGAAAAATTCATAAAATCACTTAAACCACAGTCATATTACTGATGATTTAGTGGACAGAACGTAAACGAGGTGGGCAGAAAACGGAATACGATCCCAGTATCACTGTCGATTGCAATTTTTCTGTTTGTAAACGAACTTCGTTTTGTCGCTCTGCTCGCATTCCATTG